TGCTCAAGGTTTGTAAAATTTGACAATTATGGTTAAATCGCTGAATGAGTGAATACACCTTTTTTTAATTGAGATAAATCGCTGAAATGTGGAATATATGGGATTTTCATTATTTGTTTCAATATTATTCTTGTTGTTTCTTTCAGAGTGTAGAGGACAGATCACTGTAACTCAGAGTCCATCAATAACAGCAGCTCGACCAGAAGAAGTAGCCAGAATAAACTGTAAAACCAGCAGTAATGTCTACACGGATAGTAATGGGTTGTATTTGAGCTGGTATTTACAGAAACCGGGCGAGGTTCCTAAACTCCTTATTTATAAAGTGAACAGCCTCCAGTCAGGAACTCCATCTAGATTCAGTGGCAGTGGATCTAACAGTGATTTCTCTTTGACCATCAGTGGAGTCCAGACTGAAGATGCAGGAGATTATTACTGTAAGAGTTTACACAGCATCAACAGTAAAGCTGTGTTCACACAGTGATAAAGAGTCGTACAAAAACCTCGGTCAGTCAGAGTCACAGTGACTGCACTGATACAGCTGAGAGACACTCTACAACACAATCACACACAACACTGATCAACACAAACACACACAACACTGATCAACACAAACACACACAACACTGATCAGTGAACAAATTGCTTATTTCTCTGGATTTAAACATTCTTCGAAACATTTGGGATAATGTAAGCACACAAGTCAGCAAAATATATAACACTGTTCTAGTGGTTTTTGGATATATATAAAAAAAAAACGTACATATTGTGCCTTTAACTGAGGGTGCTCTTGATTGTTTTGAGCACCCCCATAGAACCGGGCCTGTATATAATATAATAAGTGCATATACAGGCCTGGAGTGGCCATGGAAAGATTCAGGAGAATTCCCGGTGAGCCACACATAAATTGGTCCGGCAACAGTACCACTTTTACATGAATGAAGTCTCACACGGATGTGGAAAGCACAAGTATCTTGTTCATTTTTGGGCAAATTGGTTGTAGTGGTGAAGTGATGATTTGCAAGCGGTGCTCGTACACCTGAAATCCCGTCGCTTGTTTGTGCAGAGCTATTCATAGCTTTAAATGGCATTTTTAAATATAACACACGCAATAAAGTGAGCCACATGACTTCTCTCCTGTTTTTTTCTCTCACACACACACACATACACAACCAGGGGCGGACTTACCCATTAGG